AATAATAATAAAGGGAGAAATGTGGGATCAACATATAAATCAAGTATAAAAATCAAATGAATATTCATATTTGACCTGATTGTTTATAGTTCATAATGCATGATCAAAACCGAAAGTTTCTGTGATGACTGCCCTTGTATTGTTCACCATGTAAGAACTTATTCACTATGTAAAAATTCGTTCACCATCTAAGAACTTGTTCGTTATGCTTCAGAAGATTGGAGACTGATGAGAATTAGGCTTGAGATGGATTAATGATTGTGCATTGAGCATTGACTCCCCTATACAGAATTTTATTGTTGTTAACAACCATTTGATCAATAAATATGAGAGATGCCCTCTCAAAAACAAAATTTACTGGGTATTATTATGCTCTATTGCAAAAATTTAGCAATTTTAATTGTTATTCTTAGACACTTTTCTTTACAGCACTAAACCTTACAAGTCAAATTTATTGCAAGAAATTACACTGTAATCACATGAAATACAGTAAAATCACATTTATTCACCAGCCCAAGTCTATCCCTTCAATAGCTATGTTGGTTTCAGAACAGTAGAATTTTGTACAAAAAAATTAAATAAAATCTTGATTATGCAAATTACATTAATGAAAATGCTGAAAACCTGATTGTGTGAAACATCTCAAGCTTAAGGAGCCTTGTCATAGTGATCAATTTTAAATTAGTCATTTTAGAATAAATTATGTTGCTTCATTCTCCTGATAGCTTTCTGGATTTCTATTTCTACGAAAACAGCAATTACAATTGTACTGGATGGTACAAATGAGTGTCCCTTTCCAAAAACTAGACATGAAAATGAGTCCACTGGGCCCATCAAATAATACTGACATCTCAAGTCCTCTTCATAATTTCACTTCAGATATAGACTTTGAACAAAGAAGGCTGCTCTAATTTCCCTCTCAATAGAGGGCAGGTAAGAATTTTTGTCAGTTTTTAAGCTATTGTCTCACAGCCCCCAAACCAGCTTCTATATTCTGCATTGAGATTTGGGCGCTGGGTCTCTGCACACCACATTTCTTTGTTGCCAACTGGCTTTCTGCTAAATTCACTACAGGTGGCACTGGAGAGACATGGAGGTGGGGAGGTAAGAAGCAGGATGAAGGGAGAAGGGGGCTTACTCCTTCACGTTCCTTCACTGCCAGCGCTGCCTGAGCAATCATCCTTCACTCTGTTAGCTGGTATCAGTTTCTGTCTAGAGATTTTTCAAGTTCTTACAGATCAGCTCATTCTGTCCTCTTAAAGGTGCCAGCACTCGGCTGCTGGCATCCCCTCCAGAAAGCTCTTCAGTTTGAGCTCCCTACTGTGCTCCTCAGATACCAACACTGGCTTCATAGCATCACCTCCAAGAAGCATGGACCTCAAAACCACAGGGTCTCTCTTCCAAGCTCCTAGTTAGCCCAGTTCTTCCATTGATACTCAAGTCCTAAGAGTCCTTTTTTTCTCTTCTAGTTCTCCAACAGCTGTTTAAACTATCCTTTATAGCATATCTTCTTTGTTAAAACAACAGGTGTAGTTTCTGTTTTCCTGAATGTCCTCTATTACTCAGATAATGGAATATTATTCATGACTCTGTTACAGAATGTGTATTTTTCTAAGTTGGAGTTCAGAAGGATGGACAAAGAGAAGAAGAGGAATAAAGACTCGAACATTCTTTGAGATGTTACCCTTCATTACTTAATCTCCAAAAGATCCTATGAAACAGGTATGGTTACCACAATTATTTATATTAATAAGAAGAGTGATAACATTTAATGACTTTCTACAATGTGTTATTATCTATACATATATTATTCCATTTAATATTCATAAACTTGCTGAAAAGGGAGTACATTAGATCCATTTTATGGATGGGGAGTTGAAATTGAGGCTAAATTGCATGTCTCATCTTCGATAGCTTGTGGGCTCTACAACTGTAATGTGAACACAATCTGAGTCCCAAGACAATGGTGCAATTATGCATATCTTCAAATTATTGACAAATTTAATCATATAATGACAATTACATCTGTTAAAATCACCATTATTCTCATAAGAAAATTAAGTATTGGGAAGTCATCAAGCTTGTGATGGAAAAAAAAATATTATTGAAATTTTAGTTTTCACTTAAAAGCTCAAATTTGATCACTGACAACAAATAAAAATATAAAATAGTTGCTATCCTTGAAGTGACAAGGTCACTTTATTTTTGAGAAATATATGCCAAATACTCAATAATTCTAGTTTACCTGTCAATCAAACTTTCACATTAACATGGTCCTAAAAAAAAAATTGTTCAACTTGCAACTCAACCAACCACACAAATCCTTTTACTTAAGACAACATCACACTTCAGTTTGCAACAAAAATGCTTTATGCATACTTAAGTCACACAGTCATCACAGACAATATTAAAAATACATTTATTCAAAGGATATTATAAAAATAATCTATACTACTTCATCAAAGACACTGTTAGATGAACTGGCTTTTTTTTTTCTTTTTTCATTCAAATACATGATGTTAAAAATATGACTACTACTAACAGTTTTTTGTTACCTCCATGAATTTTGTTAACATTCCAAGAATTTTACTTACTATTGTCTTTGCATCATCAGTGCAATTGTCAATACAGTGAGAAAGCAAATAATACCTTGGTTTCAATTAAAAAATAGTTTTCACTCAGCCAGCCTTTGAAAATTATACTGGGACCTCCAAAGCCCATGGACCAAAATTTTGAGGACCATGTATCAAACAGTGAGGTAAAAACAGTAAGTGATAAGTTAGAGTACTTTGAGTACTCTATTTTGAGTATAGAAGCCCTCTTTTGGGCCAGTAGCCACAGTTACCAAGAAGATTTTCTTCTCTCACGAGGGGTTGATTTAATGTAAATGTATGCTTGTATGTACAGCATGATAAGTTTTTCCATTCCCTTCTGCTATGGCCTGGAAGCCACACTGACTTTTGATGGAGGTAGAGAGGAATGCCTTGGTTTGAAAGAAGACAGACCTGTACGTCTGCAATATAGAGGAGAGGATGCAGGTGCCTTAGATGTATTGGTGATGCTTTAACCTTGCCATTTGTGCTTCCAGGTCAGCAAGGTCTAGAACAGTAGCATATATATACAGAGAGAGACTTCAATACACAATTTTCCCTTTAACCATAATAGTGTCTGACTTCTTGTACTTGAGATGGAGAAAGCATTAGTTCTTCCTTATCTGAATTGCCACTTGTCCTTCCTACCATCCGTTAGGCATGTCCATATTCTTAAACACAGTAAAGATCCACCTTGCATTTAAATGCAAAATCAAAAGCGATTAATCCTAAATGTTAAAACTTCTCTTGTGAAATATAAGGAAAGACACAATGCT